GAGAACCCAACAGAACCAAACCTCAATGTCCTATTGGGAGCTTGGACGCAGCGGCTTGGTCGAGATACCAGATGGCTTCTGTATCAGCTGTGAGCCTAGCAGCAGGCAAGTCGTAATTATCTTCGAAAACCTTTGCGACCGCATCGGCCTGAGCCTCATCACATACGGCCATGAGGTTGTAGGAAGCACAATTAATGACCGGTAAAGTAAAGGTGATTCTCTTTGGTGGCAGTTTTGGTGAATTAATAATATAAGTTACCAAATTTGCCTTTTCCTTGATCTGATAGTGTCCCGGGAACAAAGACGCCATGTGACCGTCCGGACCCATCCCTAGGAGTTGGAGATCGAATTGAGGGAATCCCGAGGATTTGTATGTGCGGATTATGTTTTGATTCACCAATCTTTTGATGCACTTCTCGTAGAGAAATGCTGCGCCCTTGGCATCACCAAGGGCCGCACAGTCTTGATCGATTGCATATATGTTCGCAATTGGAATCGGAACCTACAAACCATGGTGTCAATAAAACAGATTTGTTCAAAATTCCGCATTGAAAATGAAAGCTTCTTTTTTTTAAATGGAAGCTAGCTAGTGTATAAATGATATCATTAAAATATGTCTAAACTATATATAGTTTGAAACGCCATGAATATATTCTACAACTTGACTTTGTTATGATGGTGTGATGATCATGATAATATCATATATTAATGTTACCTTAGAGAGAAAACCATCGATGGCGAGTTTGTAATTGCTGTCCTTATCGTCCCATGGAACAACCCTCTCATCGACCCAGAAGATGTGCCACTTTGACCACTCGATGCTTTCAAGGTACTTTGGTTCCAACAAATCACTGCAAAAGGGAATTAATTACATTGGATTATATAATATCAGAATAATCAAATGAATGAGATATTCGAAGAGTTTACGAGAGCCAAGAGATGAGGTCACCGCCGGAGAGAACGACGGTGAAATAGTCTCTCTCTTTGCAGAACTTGGTGGAGAGAGTGGCCGTGTAGTCGGCCATAGCCTCCGCCAATTCTTTCTTGGTCAGAAACACAATTTTCTTCCTCTTAACACGTGACATATTGTTCTCTATATGATATAATCTGATTCACGAGATGTAATATTTAAAGAACAAGAAGATGTAGAAGGTGTTGAGTTGGTGATGAGGCAGATCGATCTATCACACTTCTTACTGAACATTTAAAATAAAATATTTTATTTCGCTTTTTTCTTTAATTCTTCACAAACTGCAAGTCGATCAAGAAACGCATCAAAACATATAAGATTATGATTTTTTTTTTATTATATAAATTCATCTTTTTATATGATCCCACTGCAGTTGTAAACTTTATTTAGTTTATCGTCACTTTTTTTTTTTTAGATACTATGTGTGAGCTGTCTAGAATCGTCAATGGAATTGAACGTGCTCGTGGTTTTCTTGAATTACTTTAAGAAAATAACCAAATAGTTTTAAGAGTATACGACGATAAACTAAATAAAGTTTACAACTCTATAACACTATTATTTTGTCTTCACTCCACGCTTAGCTTGCTTGCACATGATTCGACATTGTCGACAGAAACGAAAGATTCGTTAATTATTAGTAAATATACATATCGCATATATAATCTTATAAACCATTAACGTTTGAAATTTGGTCCAAATAGATTTTTTTGTCAAGAATATATTTGTTGTTGTCAATATATAATATTTGCGTAACTAGTTATTCAAATATTTCAAAAGTTTTTTAGCGGAAAAAAAATATATATATTCAAAAGTTAAGCATGGACCATACAAAGGCACAAATAAACATTTCATCCGCAACACATATGCAAGACCAGTAGACCACCATTCTCTAAAACCTTTGAAAATTTTCCACGTGAATCGGTAATTTGATATTATATATTGTATTGTAAAATTTAAGCAGTTTGGTTATTGACTAACAGCTCGACTAAAAACACTTTCATTTAGAAACTACCATTCTCCTTGAACAATTGACTCCCTCAATTTTCTTAATGGTTCAACAACCATATTTAAATCTCAACCTACTTTGTTTCTCTTTCTGCTCATATATACTGAGCAAATCCGTCTGACTTGAAAAGAGAAAAACACAAGCCCTAGCTAAAGGCCAAGCTGCATTTATATCATTGAGACTACATTCCCTTCACTTATGTCCTTGATCTTAATTTTTTTTATTACAAACAAAATTCTTAGTTAGGTCAGTAATCGATCTTTAAAGCTAGACACTATATTTCGTAAGTCGTATAGCATAAAATGTCAGTTACATATCACTATTATTATTATTATAACCCATGGGACGCACACACAACTAGATAAATTGCATTTGGTACATACTATAGTACGCAAAATGCATTATTAGCGACTTATCTAACACACATGCAAGCAAACCGCACCAACTCGGTCTCACAAAGCTACTTAGAGAATCCTTTTTTATTTAAAACACCATTATTAATGTGACTTGGGCTCTCTAGAGCATGGAGGCAGCTGCTTGGTCAAGGTACCAAACATTTTCAACTTGGGCACTTAGATGAGCAGAAGGTAAGGGCTTGTTGTGCTTCATGATCTCAGCTACGGCATGTGCCTGTTCCTTGTCGCAAACGGCCATAAGGTTGTACGAAGACGAGTTAATAACGGGTAAAGTCATTGTGATTCTCTTTGGTGGTGGTTTTGGAGAGTCGGTAATGTGAGTGACCCATTTGTCCGTCACATTGATCTGAGGATGTCCCGGGAAGAGAGAAGCCATGTGTCCATCAGGACCCATCCCTAGAAGTTGGAGATCGAACTGAGGGTAATGGGTCTTTGGAGATATTGGGATTATGCTTTCCTTCACAAGATTCTCCAGGCACTCCTGGTAGAGCACCGCGCAGTGCTCGGCGTTACCATCTGCCGCATAATGTTTGTCGATTGCGTAGATGTTCTTGTTCGGAATCGGTACCTAAGATGTGATTAGGTATTAATAAAAAAAAAGGTATACTTTGTTCAACTATATATCACCAAAAAATTTGAATTCGCACTATATTAGATATTGTTTTTTTTTTCAATACTAGACATGCAATGAGCGAGTATGCAAAATGAACAATAGAGGAGCGTTAAGCACGTATGTAAAGATTAAAATAAAATGTAATAATATATGCTTTC